TTACGCATATAATGAATATCACAAACATCTTAAAGCCAATGATCTATTGATAATCCCTATTTGTGGTCTCTGCATGGTTTTTGTGGCTTGGAGGAACTTAAAAGCTTGTTTGCTTATCGCATTCGCACATGAAGACATACGGCCAAATATTTTTGTTACACAACCACGCCTGGTTCTAGAAGCTGCTTAATATGTACAGATGTATTTTTAATTACCGATATATACTTGTAAATATCGTTGTCATCAGCATTTACAATTTCATTTGGAAAATAAGTATTTTGGGCAAAATTTTAACAGCATCTATGCATACATATGTAAGCAAAACCAATATACAAGATATCAATATACAACACAGTACAGAATTATCCGATTGTTAAATAATATTTTGAATCACAATAATTTAAATTTAACCACTATTAGTCATAACAATAGAGGAAAGTTGTGCCGAAAGTGTAGAAAAAAAAATTATTATTTGGTTATCCTTATATTATATTAACATGTTAGAGCAAACAATTAGCTAATTGACTAACTTAATGAGCGAACTGAAATTCTCACCATCTCCTGTAACTTTTTGCTTCATTTTGCATTTCCGTTCTCAAAACATCTAATACACCATATCTGAAATTTGTTACCACGGTTAAGTAAATAATTTGAAATTTAAATAAGGTTAATCGACAAATGGACTCAATAAGGAAAAGGGATCAACTACGAGGACAGTCCAGCAACAATTAACTTACAAAAAATAAACGAAATTTTTGTAAAAATGGCGATTACTGCTTAACATATTAAAATATATGACTACAAAATATAATATTTGCTTAGGCTTAAATATTTAGCTGATAAAAAGTATTCTCTAAAAGTATTCGTCAGTGGAATAGAGGTAATTATTAAAAATTTTAGGAAAGTTGTATTCACGAAAAATGGATTCACCAGATGCGATCTAGTGGGAGTTTCCTTTTTTTTTGTGAGTGAGGGGGTGGAAAATGCCTTCCGCATTATCACTGCTGCGGTCGCAGCAACGGTATGTGCCGCTTGCAGGTCACCAAAATTACCCCTTTAAGGAACCGTCGCACACCCTGGAACCATGTTTGCATTAATTCAGGGTGGCGTTCCATTATTTTCATTGAGATATTTACATCTACGCACCTCCCGTCCAGGTCCCGCTTTTTGCTGCGAAGCAAAGTTTCTGCGAATTTCTGGATAATAGACCAGTTAGCTTCGCTCTCCATCATGACGCTGATTAAGTTGTTTGCGCTTATTGGACCGACCAGGTCTTCTACGGCGGTACGTTCCCTTTGCCATCGCTCACATTTAAAGAATGTGTGTTCAGCGTCGTCTTCAGTCGCATCATTGTATAGGCATGCCGGCTCTTCGACTTTTCCCATTCTGTAGAGATACTTTTTGAAGTATCCATGACCGGATAGTAGCTGCGTTATGTAGAAGTCGACTTCTCCGAATTTTCGACTTGTCCATAAGTTTAGGTGTCTTATAAGTCTGGCCGTCCATCTGCCGCGACTCTCATTCTCCCATCTTCGTTGCCATGCTGACATCGTATCTTTCTTTATTTGTTCGATTGCTGTAGGTTGTGTAAGTCAAGTCATACTTGCGTCCGTATCATGAACTGGTTAGGCTTCCGTCACGCTTCTTGTGTCTCGGGCTGTTATTACTGCTGCGATGCTGTCCGCGTATCCAATTAGGTAAGATTCGTCTGGCATGTCGAGTTTTAGTATGTGGTCGTAGCTGATGTTCCACAAGTCTGGGCCTGAAATGGTTCTTTGTGCTGCTCCTGACGTAACCGCTATCTGTCGTGATCCCTTTTTAGTTTGGTACAACAATTTTCTATTGCAACGGTAGGTCCGCACCACCGACCAAATTGAATGCGGGTGCAGAAGCGCCATTACTTGTTATCAGAAAGAGAATCAAACACTATAGACACATGCTATAAATCAAGTAAATTCCTCTCGAACACGAAATTGCAAATAATTTAGTTTAGTTCAAGCTACGGTGAAACCGAAGTTTTCCTTCCCAGTGGGTTCTCAAATCATCTGATAGAATCTGCTTCGGAAAGAAAAAGAGGTGAGAATCGTTCCTGAATAAAAATATCTGGACTTCATCAAGAAAAGCTTTTTCTAGAATGATACAACTTCAAAAGGTTTTGACAGGTTATCATCGTCTGCAGAAACAAATCAAGCGCTTAGCGAACATGTCATCGTCATTACCTCTGGCACGTTGATAAGGTTTCTAAATGCGCTTGGGTTGGATGAAGTGATGTTTATGTGTTTATGTGTTATTGAAAAAACAATAAAAGACTTAAATGAGGAATACCCAGTGATCAGTTTACCTTTCATACAGAACCATAACCAAAACATATAAGTGTGAGAGATGGTATATTTTTTCAAACTTAAAGGTTTGGTTTTTTCGTGAGTTTTGTGTCCCATTCATAGCTTTAATATGTCTTTTGAAAGTATATATATATATTATAATATTATATATTTAAAATGTACACTCGCTAAAATATTCTAGGTATTTTAAAATAAAAAAAGTATTCAAAATAATATTAATTTTTGCAGAATGGTTTCAACGACTTATTGCAAAATATTCATCTCCACCTCAATACTTTCGAAAACCATTTGTAAGAAATGCTTGTTCACAAAGTTGCATGCCAGAGGTTAAATGCCGAAATACGTGTCGGCGCAACCACAAATACAAAAATTTCAATTATCAACTTCAATATAAATTGCATACGTAATAATTTTTCACATCCATTCACATGTACAATATGGTTTGTATATGTCATAGTTACATATGTGTACATATGAATTAAAATTCATATGTAAGCAAATTTATTAAATAACGACCTCAGCGGTCAGCATGAGTAACACGATAACATTCTTCGTCGTTTCGCTATCGCCTGGTAGTTGGTGCGTCGCTTTATTGCAACTTTAGACTAGTGCAGAGGCCTTTAAAAATGATTTTAAAAAATAAAGAAATTCATAGCAGGTTAAAACCCTTCAAAAACAAAAGACAAAATAGCAAACAATAAAAAAAAAATTTAAGTGGTCGGGAAAAGGAAGGGAATGGGCGTGGTTAAATTTTTAAGTGTTAGAAACGGTTTATCTCAATTTCCGCCAAAACTACGTTCTATGACAATGTTATAGGTAATAAAAAATCTATAACTTTCGTATAGCGACTTTTTACACATAACCTCAAAATTTATGTGAAAAATTCAAATAACCAAGTTCTTAGGTTTTTTATTTTTATGTTGTACAGAAATTTGTTTCATAAAAAATCTTGCCAAAAGCTTAGAAAAAATAATTATTTTCCTTTCATTAAATATTGTATCCAATTCAGAATCTCAAGTTTCTAACAAAGTAATATCGAAAATACCTGGCTTTACTTTAAAATGTTACTAAAGTTAAGCATTACATCACAATTATTCATTCGAGAATTCGCCTTAAATGAATGAATTAATCTTATTTCCTTCTACTATATTTACATGTATTTACATTCAATTAAGTAATTGACAAAGAAGGGAGGAGGAAAGGGTTTCAACTACGAGGGCAGTCCAATAAACACTTAACTTACAAATAATAATCGAAATTTTTGGAAAAATGCCGACTACTCCTTAACATATTTCCTTAAGTCTATATAAATTTGCTTTAACTCAAATATTTAGCTTATAAAAGTAAGTACTTTAAAAAATAGTCCACTGTAGAATGAGGGAAACTGTTTTACATTTTAAGAGAGTTATATTCACGAATAACGTATGCACCTGATGCGATTTCGCGGCAGTTCCGATATTGTAAAGTTCAGCTAACTAACCAAATTGTCTTCCCTTTTTCTCACTTCCTTATACCAAAAGTATCGTGTTTACCGAAAGGGTAACTAAAATATCGTACTTTAAGTAAAACTTATAGTATTATACTTAACCTACAAAATGGCGAATTAATGTAATAATACCGATTATCCAATACTTAAAGTTATTTTCAGATAGTATACCTACTCGTTCATGTAAACAGTGACCTTTCGTAGTTCTTGGTGTATATTAGGGCGGATCGTTGTATGTACGTTGTTATACGGATGTTTACAGTAATGAGCCACCAGCATATAGCCACTCATAAAGCAAACGAAATTTTCAAGGCGTTTGAATTACTACTTTCGTTAATCAATATTTAAATTGTTGAGGACTTATTGGATTGGAGATTCGTTGGTAAATTGCTTAAATAGAGCATTCAATATTGCAAAAAAGTTTGAACTTTCGTAGTTCGTTGCTATCTAAACAATACTGGAGAGAGCTATTATGAATGTGATGTGGGGAGTTATCCTCGATAAGATTAAGGTGCCTTTTGAAGGACTAATGTAAGTATATGGCAAGTATTCCCGCGAGTAAAATTTTGTCTGCTGAAATTAAAACCTTTTGTGCTTTTCGACAAAGTGTCTCACAGAAATGTAGAACAGTGTGGAGATGCTTGGCTTACTTTAGCTTACAGAAGCGCAATTAGTTTTAATCAGAATGAGAATCAGATTATCCAACAATTGCTCCGGCAAAAAGAAGAGGTGCGAATCTTACCAGGGTAAAAATATCTGGACTTCGCCAAAGAAATCTTTTTTTAGAAGGACACAGTCTGAAAATGTTCGTACAGGTTTTTATGGTCGTTACTAGAAACAAACTGAGACAGATTTTAAGGTTTTATACCGCCCTAACTAAAATAAGGTGTCAAAATGGGAATTAAATATTGTTAATCGGTTCAACTGTTTACTTATTTTTGTGTGTTAATGTCGTCAAAAGCATTGATGCAATCAATTAATAATACGAAGAATACCCAGTGAACATAAACTGTTAGAAAAACCATAACCGATATAAGTGTGCGAGATATTATAATTTTCCAAACCTATAGTTTTGGTTTTTTCATGTGTTTTGTATCACGTAGACAACTTTAAAAATTCTTTTGAATACACATATACATAGTTTACACTATAACTACATTCATTCCACTCACCTTTGCTGGCTGTAGCGATGGCGACGAGAAGCTGGCGAGTTGCCAGCCAGTGGTCGCCATATAATGAAATGAAGTTTTGCGTATTTTACTAATTTTCTCAATCGCTTGCTTATTATCTGTCACATCGGAGGACATACCTAAATAAGTAATGCGACATACCAGCGAATATTTCCAATAGAAAGTGAACAACTTTCCACGGGAAACGCGATTTATTTAGTTAAAAGGGCACGTAAAGGCTGCAAAGAAGAAAAAAGAACAGAGAGAAGAGAAAACAGATCAGTAGGATATCAAAAAGGTCGCGTTTCATTATGTATGTATGAACAGTTGTGGAGAGCGAATATAAATTTTAGATGATCAAACCACACAAATCTCACATATAAATAAATACGTACGTACGTAATTATACTTCACTCACAAATAACAATAACACACACACACACATATGTAAGTAAATCTGCAAGCATTCTAGCCAACAAAGGCAAGAGCAACGCATAATGGTTGAAAAATTTTCACTACGGGTACACGTCTGGTTTCCCAACTTCAGCGTCCAGTCAGTTCATTTGTAATGCAAAATAAATTTAATGCCAGAGCCTTCTTCATTAAGAGCAAATTATTGTAAGCCTTGTAAAACGAAAATTGTCACATGTGTATTAGTGTGCTACCTTTCCAAAGCAAATATCATTTTTATTCCAGCGGGATAGGTTGTGTTCATCTTTTTGTTATTTGTAATTATTTGGGCGAATTTTTGCACTCATGTGGGAGGTGCGTTAACGTATTTCGAGTTTGGCATTTTTCAAGATTTGAGAGAATTCAAATTATGGACGGTATTTTTTATATTCCCGGACAATTTTTGGAAATATGTTTACACTCTAGCAACATCCTGCTGTGGAGAATTAAGACTTTTTTACATAAAATCTTTAAATATCCGAGTGTGTCAAAATAAATAAATATCTAGATACCTGACTTAAAAAAAAAACAAGTAAGCCCTTCCTTCCTCGGATGTAACCGAACATTTTACACTCTCGCAAAGTCAAATGGTATACTCGTTTGAGATTTCTTTGTGGATTGACCGATATCTTCGGTAGAAGGTCAACTATAGGCACTGTGGTCCACATATTCAGTACCTAAGCGTTTGAACAGTTTTGGTTCGATTTAGACAATTTTTGGGCACAAGGTGGCATACTTCAATAGCATTATTCACGCAAAGTTTTATCTCGATACAGTCATTGTTGCCTGATTTGCATAGTGGAAAGTAAAAGAATCAGATGGAATTTAAAATGGTGTTATATGGGAAGTAGGCGTGGTTGTAGTCCGATTTCGCCCATTTTTGCACTATGACATAGAAATGTCAAAGGAACGTTATGCACCGAATTTGGTTGAAATCGGTTAAGCAGATCTCAAGATATGGGTTTTCACCTAAAAGTGGGCGGTGCCACGCATTTTGAACGCGGTTCCTAAAAAGTTATCTCATACCATCCTAGAGATAAAATAATGTATCTTGCGTGTTTAGCGCTTGATTTATCGCGCTTTTAGTAGTTTTTAACAGTACCGTTATATGGGGAGTGGGCGGAGTTGCCACCCAATTTCACCTATTTTCACACCGTCAATAGAGGTGCTAAAACCATTTGCCTTCAGTGAATTTTGTTATTATAGCATTAGCGGTTTAGGAGATATGTACATTAAACCTATTAGGGGCGGGACCACGCAAACTTAAAACAAAAAAATTAACTGCAGATGCCCTCCCTAATGTGATCCTGTATACCAAATAAGAGTCTTGTATCTTATTGCGGAGCTTAGTTATGGCAATTTATTTGTTTTTTATCAATGGCGTTTTGTGGGCGGGGCAGTAGTCCGATTACGCCCATCTGCAATACCAACCGTCTCACGGTACCAAGAAACATGTCTACCAGGTTTCATAAAGATATCTCAATTTTTACTTAAGTTAGAGCTTGCACGGACGGACGGACGGACGGACGGGCAGACAGTCACCCGGATTTCAACTCGTTTCTTCATCCTGATCATTTATATATACATAACCCTATATCTAACTCGATTAGTTTTAGGTGATACAAACAACCGTTAGGTGAACAAAACTGTTATACTCTGTAGCAACAGGTTGCGAGAGTATAATAATAATGTAACGAAAATATATTCGGTTGTGTGTCTGTTCGTCTTTTTTCGTTCATCGAAATTTGAGCAAAATAAAGCTATTCTGTCTGTTTTTAGCTATATACTTATGTAGATTGTATCAGACAATTCCTACGCACAGAAAACAATCCAATGTTACAAATTAATAATTCTATAACCTAATCTATCTAGCTAGATAAAATATCACAAAAAGTCAGACAGAGATGACAAAACTATCTCATAATCTACTAGAGCTATATGGCACAGCTGTGACGTCAAAAATTTGCAAAGAGCTTCTGAGCTGATTTTTATATTTCAAACTAGAGAAGACTGCTTACTAGCTGGTATTGCCAGCGCCATCTATCGCAAATTTAGGTTAAAGTATCAATTAAATTATTTCTTCGGTTGCCACATTAATCTCAATCCTTTCTGATTAATTCCTGAGAATTATTTTTCGGTTATTGACGACCTTATATCAAATTATTTGACTATTTTGGGTGACGGCTTTTTATAACAACTTATTGATAAACAAGCCGACTAAGAGATTGTTTTTTTTTTTTTTTCAAAATACAACACGTGAACCAACTTTGCTTCTAAGCAGATCAGTGACATCTCATTTATAAGCCTTCTTCATTTTTAAAACAAAATGCGCGTTGGATAGAAAAATAATCACACTTCGAAGAATAAAATATTCAAAATCTTAACAGCAAGCAGCGTGAATAAAATGCGCACACAGAGGACTTGAAAACCAGTTTCGTTTTTTGAGGATTCGAAAGGAAGAAAAGAGGAAGAAAAATGGGCGCACATGTGGAATAACATGCAGATATGCATATCCCTATATATGGATTAATGTACCATATATATGTGTATGAAAAGAAGAAAAATAAATGTTGAAATTATTGTCCCAGTTAAGCTAAATAATGTGATTTTTAAAACCCATTTGACCGCATGTGTATAGGTACAAGTACCGTTATTCCAACACACCCAGTCTTATACAAAGGACACACACATACACATCTACAACACACGGCTTATCGAATAGGTGAAGACTTTCACCGATTTATTTTTTAAATTTGAAAAAGTAGTTAAATATACTTTTGCAAAATGTTGCTACAGAGTATAATAGTTTTGTTCAACTAACGGTTGTTAGTATCACCTGAAATTAATCGAGATAGATACAGAGTTAAAAAGTTGACGGATAAGCGATAGCTTGAATAAAAGTTTAGATACATTAATGAAATTTTCTGCCAATAAATTTTGGCAGCTAAGGGCGATTGGTATTGCAGATGGGCGTAATCGGACCACTTCCACGCCCATAAAGCGCCATTAAACGACAATCAATAAAGCCGAGAGAAATCCTTTTTCTTTACGCGCTTTAAATCGAGTAATAAACACGCCCACTTCCTATATAACGGGTATATTGAAAACTAAAAAGTTGATATATACACTGGTAAAATGGGTAAAATCGGATGACATCCACGCCTACTTCCCAAATAATAAACTTTTAAACTCCATCTGATTCTTTCACTTTAAAGTATACCATTCAAACATCAATGAAGTTATCAGAATAAAATTTTACACAAATAATGCCCTCAAGGTATTTCACCCTACGCTCAAAAATTGTTGAAGTTGGACTGTCATTGTCAAATATGTAGACTACAGTGTATATGACTGATTTACCAAACATATCGGTCAATCTGTGAGTTCCAGTATTGAAATTCGGGGAGAATATTTATATGATGACAACAAGCTTGTGTGCCCAAAATGAGTCAAACATGGTCAATAATTCCCCTAATATGTTATTTTATGTATTTTCGAACTTCCGGTTGACCTTATACCGCATCAATCGGTCAGTACGTAAACAATTTTAATATATCAACAATTTATAATATGAATTTCGCTTTTCTCCGTTGACATATTAATTGACACATTTTTTAATTTACTTATTTGATTTATGAATTGATGCATGTGCGTATTATGCGATTATTGACTCGCTTCAAAACATTCACTCACACGTTAAACATTAATTAACAATAACTACAAATTAAATAACAACAATAGCAAAAGGTGACGCGAATATATGTCTAATAGTGCTTTTAAATATATGTGTTTATGTAAATACATATGTATATATATTCAATCGCTTATAGAAAAAAAATAATTGATACTACAGCTGCACGCTCAGCAGGAAACGCAAAACTCAAAGGCATTACTACTTTCCTTTTCTACTAGTCACGTGATGTCGCACAAACGCCCTGCGACTGTCGGCAAGCAATAATAATATGTATCTATTTACTATAAGAGCGTGTTATAAATAAGATTTTAAGTTCTTCTTACAAATGTACTATATATATATATATATATGAGTGTTTAAGCTTATTTGCCGTATTTGTTTTTGTCATTATTTATGCGTAACATGTGCTTTCGCAGCCGCGACCGACTGACCGAGTTATGGCTGCTTTACTGTCAACGTTGTCATTAACATTTGCCGCCAATTAACTTTGCGCGCACAAATTCACAAATATACATACACTCAAAACTTGCAGATTGTTGTTTACTATTGTTTGCCTGATTACATTTTGGTTTGATATAAAGATGCGTGACTATATGTATATTGGTAATTGATATGCCGTCGGAAGTCTTAAGAACACCATTAAACCTTTGATTCCACTGATCCACAGAAGAATTTCTAAACACAAACACAACCGAAATATATGGAGTTCAAATGAAACTAACTCTTAAATAGTTGCTTAAAAACATGTTTTACTGCCAATAGCGTTTAATTAACGATACATTTTTATAGACTGCAGCTTTTGGCTCAACGGCAGCGTCTTTTGCCGCACATTAAACGCGAGCATGTGTGTGCTTACTTTTGTTACAATATATTTGTAGGATTGTCGATCCATTTGTTGTGCTGTGATTATTGTTATTGCTGTCACTTTACCAACAGTTGCTGTCATAGGATCATGTCACAGCGAGATATGTCAGCAGCAATTAGCAACTTTTTAGCTCGGCGGAGAGGCCTACTCATACTGTCGCACTGTCCAACTGACAGTCGGGACAGACAATACCTTAACCAACTTTTTTGTTGCTGTGTTTTTTTCCAAAAAATTTGTTATTTTAGTTTCAACCCTAACACATACACATCTTAGTGTATATTTTTTGTATATACATACATATACAAGGCTTTTGCTTTTACTAACGGTACTCTTTTGCTTTCATGTTTTCTAATTGTCACCATGAAGTCCAGAAAAGTTCCAAAAAATGCATACAGTCACCAAAAAATCTCACATGTTTCATTAATATAGGAATTTGTATATATATATGTGTATAAATATACAAATACTTGTATGTATATATTCACACACACACTAACACAAGCGCATATAGAAATGCACTATAAACACCTACACAGACACACACCATTGTAGAAGGTCTTGTTCTTATCAAAAATCCGTTACGATGTCGTTATAATTCCTCCCGTTGCATCTGCCAGTTGTGTAGACAGCGCGACAATGACTGAATGATGTAGCGGTCCAGCGAGTTGGTACAAAGCCATGTGATGCATATAACAACAGCAGCAATAAGGTGCTCTTACGAGAGCGACTGTGGTGAATTTCTATTAGGATAGCTTTTTAGAGAAAACAAATACAAGGAACACGAGGACCCTTCTCGAGTGACTATGTAAATAGCTGTACATTATCTACTTGTATATAAATAGAGAGCTGAATTGTGTGATAAGGAAGCTCCGTGAGTGACTACGTGCTGCATCTTATCTATACAAACATTTATGTACTTTACTCCTACAAGTATATAGTACAATGAAATTTATGTTGTAAGTTCGCCGCGCTTTGGGCTTTGGAAATATGAAATATTTCCTGAAAGATAATGAATCCGGTCCATTCAATAACCGGGAAATTCTGAGTATAGATAAAGGAGAGATATGGATCTTATCTGGTTTCTTTTCTTCTCAATATAGTTTTTTGCTAACTATAGACCAACAATAACTTCCGTAGAGTATCGTTTTAAATAAATCCATCGATTTTCAAATTCAACACAATCTTCCACATCGGTTCTATTCTGCATTTCTTAACAGGTGTTGTAAAATTCTCAGGATTCTCAAATACAGAAGCAAAATTAGATTCGAGTGTACACATGTTTTCAAACATAATTATAGGCCGTGTTTCCTGTAATTAAATATATGTTAAAGTTTGTATATATTTGTATGTATGTAGTGGATCTCTGATGCTGATAGGCTAAATAAAATTTGGCCTACGACATAGTTTAAAAATTTGAAAGAATTGAAAATACCTCAAAATAAAAAAAATCGTATAGATTTCAAAAAGATTTCAGCTTGTTAATAATTTTCTTACTCTCGTCGGTGCCTCCTTTAGATAAATATATAAAAATGTGGTTGCTACAACTGAGATTTTTGGCGTATGCTTACTGCAATAATACTTATACTTAATAATACTGCCATACGTCTTATTAATTTCTATATTTTATCTACTGTAGTGTAGGAGTATTTTTTCTCTGTCTCTATTTAGACATAATCGATTTGGGTAGCAAATTTCTTCGGTTGAATTTTATACCTTTGGACTGGAAGTATGATCGAGATAATGATTATATTTCGTATGAAGATATGCTGTCTCTTGTTCTGTCGAATTTTTCTGATTTCTCGGCTCCACTTTTTTGGTCGTAAGTGCATACGAGGTAAATTTATATACCTTTAATAACTAAGTTTACTTACTATGGGCTAGAGTTTTTTTGTACAACTGTGACGCCAAAGAATATTAGAGATACTTTCCTAAATAATTTTCTTCTCTACAAAATATGTATACTTACCTCATAGGTCACGTAGTTTCCAAATTTTAGCCGTCGAGAGATGGATGTAAGACAAAGCAGGAAAGTTCACCGGGTTGAGTGAAATATGAATAGAATAAGTTATACAATATTTTGACATTTTCTATAGAAAACTATTGTTAATTATAACTTTTAGAACGCTCATATAATATAAAATTAATATTCAATAATCCACGTAGACGTCTTTTGCCGCCAAAACAAAGTACCTGCCACTGTAGAAGTGGTACTCTATACATTATGTTACAAGTAGATATAACTATGCATACATTTGTGAGCTTAAGTTGCCAATATTCGCCACCTAGCCGGTCGTGCACCAACAGCTGATTTCCATTCGCACACCCGCACTACCGTTAGAGCTAGGTATTTCGTGGATTTTACACGAGTTTATGGAAGTAATTTAATGTAAACGCATGTTTACATATATTTAAATATATTTATTGTAACGGTATATATATACATTACGTCATAGATACGCTACGAGCTTTCACCGCTCCCTTTTTATTACACTCTGTTACAGCACGCACGTAGGCGCCAAGTTCATAATGTATAAACATACTTACAGGCTGTGAAAGTGAGCACGTTATGCTCAACCTCGTGCTCAGTTGAAGCGCTTAACTGTCAAATATGAGCACTTTGAGTGTGCTTTCGAACTTTTGTCGGCTGCTTTAACAATCACAGACCCGTACCCCCACGCCCCGTTAAAGATGCACCTGAAAGTCTAGAGAAACATAAAAATAACAAAAATAAGTACATTGCACTTTTATTGAATGGTTGAGCACTTTGCCATTTAACGGGGTTTGGTTTTATTTTTGTATTCAAACTTAGTGCGAGCGTTCGTCTTCGGTGGTGGCCGTTCAATATTAAGCCATATTGTGACTGTAGGTAGGTTGCTAGAGTAGGAGTTAAATGAGTTTAAAAGTAAAATTTAGTAAAAATCCTTAATAGCGGTTACAACAACCACTACAACAATAATAAAAATAAACTTTGAACTTAAACAATAACAGCCACTGAAGTATCAGAATCAGTAACAAAAACTACACAAACTATATGAGCATAATATGAAAGCTCGCTAAGGGTGGTCGTAAAAAAAAAAAGTTTTCACACAAAAAATGTTACATACTTTCAGGCACATTTTCATTTATTTTACAGCCAGTCTGTAGCATCTTTGCCATGTTTCTAAACTTAACCTCCAATATAAGTCAGCAAATGCTACAAGAAAACGGGGAAATTACATTTACAGATTAGGGGTGTACGAAAATAAATTATAAAAACTTTTTTTATTTATGTGCAAACAAACAATCAAATGAATATAACTTTTCAAAAATTCAAAAAGAATTTTTAAAACCTTTGCAAACTTTTATTTTATTCGTATACAAATACTTTTGTAACTTTTGGTGGAAATTGTTCTTTCAGTTCTTGATAGAGGTTTTCCCACGCTCCTTGTCCAATTTTAATATATGCTCGTATGAACCTACTTCCAGTCAAGTACTTCGATTGTATCCTGAACCGATTTGACTTTGTGTGCAGGTACATTGTCGTCTCACAAAATTACTTTGCCGTGTCTTCTAAACAATTTCACCAGGTTTTAGAAGCTCATGATACCACACTCGTCTTGCCCCACTAAACACAGAGCGCTGTCTTTTACCGAATCGATTTGTTTTTGCAGTCGCTATTTATTGTTGTCCCGCATAAGCCATGATTTTCTCCATCTAGGATTCTTAATATAAATGCATTTTTTGTCGCCAGTGACAATTCGATGCACAACTGATTTTCTTTCGTGTCTTTGAAACAAAATTTCACAAGTGTTTTTTTTGGTTTTCCATTTATCTTTCATTCAATTCATGTGGCATCCATTTTCCACATTTTTGATCTTTCCCATAGCTTTCAAACGATCTAAAATTTGTTGTGCAACATTTAGCTTGGCTGCCATTTGCTTTTGACTCAAAACATTATCTTATTCCAATATTGCTTGCTGCGTCTTCAAACCTTTTGGTGGTATTCCACGTTCTTCATTTCTCATATCAAAATAATTATCTTTAAACCGTTGAAACCATCTTTTGCATGTTGCTTCTGAAGGAGCATAATCACCGTATGCCGCGACAAGCATTCTATACGATTTGTTTTACGCAAACCATCAGATCCGGTACAAAATTCGACATTTTCAACACAATAAAAAACTATAATGTTGGTTGGTCAATGACTGTAAGGTTATTGAATATGTTTGACAGATGTCATGCCAACCAAAAAAAATAAAAAAAAAGCTACCAACACATTTGTATCTTAACGCTCGTTTCATACCGGTACACCTGGTATATAAATTAAACCTTATAGTGGGACTTCAACATTTTTTAAATATCAGATGCCACACCCTAATACGATACGTTTTACTAAATTACAGTTTTGTATTTTAAGTCGTATCTTAGTTATGATACCTTATAGGTTTTCAATTAATGGTGTTTTATGGGCGTGGCTGTAGTCCAATTACGCCCATCTACATTACCGAACTTGTTATAGTTACATCTTACACTAAGTGACGGACGGACAGACAGTCAACCGGAATTCAACTGACTCGATGCATTATTTACTTAGAGACCCTTTATTATGTGTGCTGCTTAGGATTCTGTTTACTATAGATTGTGAGAGTATAATAACAATTTAATGACAGAAAAATGTGTCCTCTTAATTATTTTTCAACCAAATATAATTGTGTAAGATTAGTGTCTTTCACTGAATTGAAAGCGAATCTTTGTAAATATTTTTCTTGCTCAACATAGCGAAAAGTTTGCAAGGCTTGAAAGAGCAGACAATGCATTAACTTTATTTGCACTTTACTGAATACGAATTATATACATACATACATGATTTTTGATTAATTTAGAATTTTAGCAAAACAGTCCAAAAAATTGGAAATTTTGATTTTAAATATATTGTATTTTTTATTCATGATATCTTTATTACAACAAAAACGGTTAATTTGGAAGGACTCATAAAATTGTATGGTTAGAATAACGAAAGCAACACAATGAAGTTACATATAACTTAATAGGCACTGCCCTGTGATTATACCATACTTAACATAAACCATCTGTTAATGGGTGAGTGAGTGAGTTTTATGTCTCCAGGATATCTGCTTCTGCGCACATTCCAAGAAAGGTTTCCCTATAAAGAAGACTGAAGAAATTGTTATATTGATTTAAGTTGGATTATTTGACTGATTTCTAAAGCGAGAATTATACTTATAGAGCTAAACACAAATCCTTTGGCATACTTGCTGTTCATATGAAAAACATTTAAACGACGCTAGCCTTTTTGATATTGATATTGTATCCGCAAGAAAGTTCAAATATGCAATTTTAAGAAGAAACTTCAAGCTTTATGTTGGACATCTTAAAAATTGGTGAGTAGTAAATTTCTGCAAGCTTACCGCCCCATGCTTATACCCATGTGTGGGTTTTACTTTAACGACCGAAAAGTTTTTAAATACCATAAAGAAAATTACAGTATTTAAATTGGCAATAGTTTCGATAGTACCTGAACGCACAAGGCTACATACAGAGCCCGCATGCTGTTTAATTGCGAAATACTGACTATAAAAGATCATAAAAGACATTTTACTGAATCCACTGAATAAATTTGACACAAGTTTGTAAACTAACAT